GAGGGACAGACCTCAGCGTGATCTCTGATGTGTACACAGTTCCTCCTGTAATCAGACGCACCACCCCCTCCCAGCAGCTCACCAGTGTACACCTTGTGTCCTGCAGGACCCTGGGCAGGTGACCACCTCTCCGATGGTCATTTCCCCCACTGCACAGGGACAGCGAGTGCCCAGCCCTCCGGCTGGGGAGAGGACTACAGACTTCAAACGCTGAGACCCTCAGAGTGGGACCAAGCGGCCAGAAGGAAGCGAATCCATTCGTATGTCCAGTTTCCCCTGGGCAATTCGGATGGTGAAGTGGCCCCTCAGGAACTCGGAGAGACATGAGTGTGCCCATGCATGTGCTGCCATTACGGCCGCCCAGACAGGGCCGTTTCCTTTAGTGTGTCGGGTTCGGGGAGAAAGAAGGCCCGACGGTTCAACTGAGCCGCCCCCGTCGAGGAAGGCCGACCCACCCGCCGTCCGGCGCGGCCCCGGGCGGGCACGAGGAACCGCTGCCGGGATGGCACTGGCTGTGCCGAGGGGCGCTCGGCTGGGGGGCACCTGGGTCCTCGTCCGCGGGGCCGTGAGACGGGGGACAAATTCCCCAGCCCCTCTGGACCCCGAATTCCTCAGATTCACGCGCTGAAAACCTAACTGGCCGTGGGAATGGCGTCAGGAGGCGGGGCCTTCCGGAGGCCCACCCTTTCTGAAAGAGGCCCGGGAAGCCCCCTGCCTGTCCTCCGTAGAGGTCAGGGAAGTCTGTGGCACCCTGACCTTGGACTTCCAGCACCCGGACCTGGGAGAAATAAATCTCGTTGCTTATGAGCCTCCTGGACCACTGTATCGTTACGGTCAACAGTCCGATGAACAGAGAAACGGGTGTGGGGGACAGGCAAGAAAAACTTGGGGGGCCACCTTGTGCGAGTCCCGAAGACCTCGTGGACCCCAGCAAGCGGACCCTCGGCTCTCTGTCACCACTTGAAAGTCCGGGTGCCACGATACCAACCACCTGGCCTGCAGTCCGAGTTCCAAGGCACATATTGAAAGTTAGGTGAGGGGCGCCCCGGCTGGTGTGGCTCAGTGCCCCCTGGGCACCGTCCCTCGGTCCCCGGTGGGGGGACATGCGAGGCAACCAATCCACGTTGATCTCGCACGTGGATGCTTCTCTCCCTCCCTCCCCCTCTCTAAAAACGGCACATTTTTACAAAGAAAAATTAAGTAACCAAGGGGCCACACCCTGCCAGGCCCAGACACTGAGGGGCTCAGGGAGGCAGACACAGCCCCCGGGGTCTCCCTCCTGCCGTGTGGGGCCTCCTTGCAGCGCCTTCGGAGGGGTCTCAGTCACTCACCGGACCCTGTCAGCAGCCTTGGTGGCTTCTGCTCCCTCCCTGGGACAAGGTCCTCCACCCCACAGGGCCTCGAGTCCCCCCACCCCGGGAGCAGCCCACCTTTACACCCTCCCTCTGCGCCGGCAGGCTGGCGTGGTGTGGGGGGGGCGGGGCGGGCAGCTGCTCCCTCCTCCAGGCCCCGCCCAGAACCCAGCTCCTCCCGACAGAATCCACTGCGGTCCCAGCACCTTGGGTAAACAGACCTGGATTGGGCACTTAGCCCATTATGGCCTCATTAAATGTTTGCCTGTCTGCCCCTGCCCGGTCAGGGCAGGGCAGGGCCCCAGCGACCACGGACAGCTCGGGGGAGCCAGCAGCACGTTGTGCAGCAGAACGGGGAAGCAGGGATGGGCCAGCCTGGCTGGGGGACCCTGGACGGGACACTCCTCCCCTCCGGTGAAGGAGCAGACGGGGAGGTGGCTGTGAGGCGGCGCTGCCCGCATGCATGCGTGATGCACGGCGAGCACTAACGTGCGGAGAAGCCTGGAGCTCCACCCGCCCCGAGCACCCAGGGTCAGAGCTGGGGCGTCAGTCCACGGGGGTCCTCGGGCCTCTCCACCCGGCGCTGATAGAGCCTCTTCCCAGCTCCAAGCCGTTCGTACCCAGGTCGTCCCTTGGTGGGGGGCGGGTGGGGAGGGAAATCAAGCCCTCTCTGTCTTTAATCTCCAAATCGCAGCGAGCCTCCCCAGCCCAGTCAGGCGGGCTTTTCTGTGCTCCAGAGCAGGCACCTCTCCTCCAAGTCTGGGTGACCCGCCTCCGGAAAAACAGGTTTACCTGCAGTGCCCCGCAAGGCCTGGCGGGTGTTTTGTGCTGTCACATGCCAATATTGACACTAGGGAAATCAGCTGCCCTCCCCGAGCCCGCCCAGGGCCTGGCCACCGGGCCTGGCCTCGCTCTGGCCTCGGGGCCCTCAGGGGAGACCGGCCTGCTGCAGTGCCCGAGGGGCCTGCGTTCCCTGTTCCTCCCCCCCACCCCCACCCCCCGTCCGGCCCGCCCCTGCCGACCCGCAGCAGCACAGCAGGACAAAGGGGGCCGGGGGGACGAGGAGAACGGAGCCCCCGTCTATCCCAGACCACTGCAGGCTTCCTGGCGGCCGCCAACAACAAAACCCGAGCGAGTCGGGAACTTCCTTGAAACCTCTTGGAATTGTTCTACGCGGAGAGAAAAACAGCCGGCCCCTCGTGGGATCCTCTACGCCCGAGGCCGGGGGAGCGAGACACCATTAATGGTCTCCAACCCGAACAGGTTCACGGCAAACAGGATGCTTTCCAGGGAGAGGGGGGCACGCTTCCGAGGTCAGCCTCGAGACACAGCCGGAGGGGGCCCTCCCCCAGGCCCCTTCTGTCTGCTAGACAGACGCCATCGGAAGTGGGAGGACAGGTCAGCGCCGCTACCTGGTTTCTTCACAGCTCGGTGCACCCAGCTTGTTTAGCTACCGCCCACTTAAAAACTGACAGTCGTTACCACACACACAACCCCCCACCCAGCTTCTCCCCAACTCGCGCCTGTGACATTGGGTGCTCCCGTCCTCACGGGGCCGCAGGCTGGCATGGGTCGCACCAAGGGAGCCCGCATGGGCCGTCCGTTTCACGCCGTCTTTCGTGTCCTGGGAGCAGTTAAATAAGGTCCTGGGACAGAGGAGCTGGGGGGGGGGCGGGGAGGGCAGCACCTTTCGATGAGGCAATCAGGGAAGACTTCTCAGAGGAGGCAGCCATTGCGCTGAGATGGCAGACGACGATGAGAGCGGAACTCAGCGAGGACGGGATGAGTGTTATCGCTCCATCTGTTTTAAGCCTCGCACCATCCCACGGAAGCCCCCCGCCCCGGGGATCCCGGGGGGGCTTGGAGAAATGTCCCCGCTGAGGTGGTTCCCACCCAAAACAACATCAACTGGCGGCCCACTCCGAAGGCCCGTCACCTATGTTCCCCTGCCCGGGAGGACACTCTGCGGCACTGGCTGAAAGCCCACAGCCCGGCAGCCCGTGCCCTCAGGCCCTGTAGACGTTATTAAAAGAAAAACTGGCAAAAGTGAACTTGGACAGCCTACCGCTGGTTGGTAAGCCTGGAAGAAGCCACAGATAATCAACCGGTGACACCCCGGTGACCTTGAGGTTCACAGGATGGTGGGAAATCCCCAAATCCTGGGGCGAGAAGGGCCGGGACAAGTGGAGGAGACAGAGGCGGTGCGGCAGGGTGGCGCTCACTCAGCAGCCAGCACCCGGACCCTGGCCCGGCCACCGCTTCCGACAGGCCAGTCAGGGAACCAGCGAAGTGGTGGCCACACAAAAATGCGCAGAACCAGGAGACACTGGTCGCGTGTGAACCCCAGGGCAACCACGCACGGCCAATGCTTCCGTGGGTGTTCTCCGCCTCCGGTCCAAAACCTCATGGACCCATTTTACAGAGCCAGCAAACCGCGGCTGCCGGACGGAATAGCCCATCTCAGGCAACTCAGACGGAAAGCGACGGAGTGGAAGGTTTTTGTTAGGCTTCCAAAACACGGCGCCGGGCTTTCAGCGAGACAGCATTTATGTCGCCCCCTGGGAAGTCACAGCTTCTCCATCTGTAAGGTGAGGTCGCACCCTGGGGCCGGCCGGCACAGTACCGCACCGGCCGTCCCTTCCTGGTGGAGGAAGGACAAGGCTCGGGACCTTTCTTCCTGGTGCGCTACCGCCAAGCTGCGGAAAGAACTTCCAAGGGCGCAGACGCCGCAGGTGCTCAGGGAAAATGCTACAACAGCAGCAGCAACAGCAAAAACAACAACACCCACACCCCCGGGTGGCTTGTACTAGCGAACGTTACAGTAACAATTAGCGGTGTACAAAGCGACTCGGACCCGGGAGGCCGGAGCGCGTCGCCAGAGCCCTAAGCCCGGAGGTCCGGGCCGCGCCGGGCAGGCGGGCAGGAACCCTGCAGGTGACCGGCGGGACCGCGCACACCCGCCTCCCCAGCGCGCCGAGCGCGGTTCACACGAACAGGCCACGGCGCCCCGCGGGGCTCGTACGCGCCGCGCTCAGGCGCACCTGTGCAGGTCGCCGGCAGGTGGGGTGACGGCAGCGCCCCGCTTGCGCAAGTTCCCGCTCCGGACTTCCCCGCGTCGCGTAACCGAGTCCGTCTCCGACTCCTCGCAGGTGCGCGGCGAGTCGCGGCGCCTCCGGTCCCGCGGGGACCGTGCCCGACGCCATCTTCCCTTTTTTAGTGGACACCCGAGCTGGCGGCCCCGCGTTCTGGCACGGTGGGCGCGGCCCTGGAGGACTGGGGCGCCCAGCCCCCGGGGACCGCGCAGGACGGCGGAGCGGGGCGACAGGGCACCCGGCCCTCCCGCCGGGGTGTACAGGGGCCGCCCCATCGCTCGGATGCGGAGACTGGGGCCCGCGGGGCCGCGGCTGGCACCATCGCCCGCGGGGACCTGGAGGCCTGGCCCGAGAGGGGGAGTTTCGGAGCCAGTGTCCCGAAAGGTCGCCCGCAAGTGACACACCCGACAGCCGCCCGCCCGGAGAAACCAGGTTATGGGTCTCCAACCTTCCAGCGGCTCGGCACCCAAGGTTCGGAACCCCGGGTTCGGGCCGGGCGGCGGGCAGGCGGCAGCGGGGCTCAGGTCCAGGCAGGAGGGGCAGGGCCCGGACTCACCTCGCGTCGGCGCTGGCGGTGGCGGTGGTGGCGGTGCCCGGAGCGCTCCAGCCGGGAGGCGTATTGTGTGCAGCTGGCGGCCCGCGCGCGAGAATATAAACCGCGCGCCCCGCCCCGGCCCGCCCCCGGGGCCGCCTCTGCTGCCCCAGCGCGCGGAACCCGGCGTCCAGCGCGCGGGCTGAGTCGGGACCCGGGACCACTAGCAACACAACTGCTACAAGCGCGATGTTGACGCGTTGACTTCTCAGCCGCCTGCCGCTCCTCCTGCGAGACCGTTCGGTCGCGCGCGCCGCCTTCCCAGCCTGGGCGTGCACGCGCTGGGCTCCGAGGGGTGCCCGTCCACGGGTCCCCCGGCCGGTCGGGGTGCATAACACCAGCGTCCTGACGTGGATTCCCCGCGTCGTCCTCAAGGCGGTCCCGAGGACGCGGCGCCTTCTCCATGCCCGTTTCACCAACGAGGAAACCGAGGCGCGGAGAGGAGGAAATGGCCTGCTGAACAGTGAGCCCAGCGCGCCGATATCCCCGTCCTTCGTGCAGGCACCCCCTGGAGCCTTGTCTCCTTCTTCAGTTACTTTTATTGCTGTAAAATGCACCAGAATTTGCCACCCTAACTATTTTTGAGTGTACCGTCCAGTGGCATTAAATGCATCCATATTGCGCAGCATCGCCACCAGCCCTCTCCAGAACTTTCCATCTCATAAAAAAAAAACCCATACCCATGAAACGGCCCCCTTTCCCGCCTCTCCACCCCCCCATCCTTCCTGCTGCACCACTCAGCACCCCCATTTTTCTGCTGCCCACAGTGGGGTCTGCCAGCTACCAACTCTGGGGTTCCTGGACCCAAGGGAAAATGGGGGGCCACAGACAGCCCCCCAAGGCCCTAGAGAAGGAGGAGAGCTCAGAAAGGTCCCAGGTGGGGTGGGGCAGACTAGGGAAGGGTGGGTTCTGGAGGCCTGGGTAGGGTGGGTGCTGCAGGCGGGAGGCAGGCTGGAGTTACAAAGTATCCGTTGTCCCAGGAACAGAACAACAAGCGTTGTTTACCTCAGTCCCGCAGCCTCTGAGGACAGTGAGCCGCCCTGTCCAGGGGGCGCCTCTGATCCTAGTTCTTTCTCTTGCTACCTGTTGGGGGCCCCCTCACCCCTTCCCACCTCTCTCTGGAGCTATGACAGTGTCACCTCCTCTCCCTCTGTGTCCCCATCTGCGACGTGGGAGGACAGCACTGACCCCCGCTCCACTCCAACCCCCTCCGCGCCCCCACCTCCCCCCACCCCCAGGCTGAGCCGCAGGGAGAATCAGAGAAGATAATCCTAAAATGTTTAGTAAACTCTTAAACTCCAAGACCCCTCCCTCCCTGGGGGCTCTCTGGCCTCCTAGGATTTTGCCATCTTTTCTTCCAGGGCCTCCCCCTAAACCCCATCATCACCCAGCCCCAGAGCGCCCCGTGGCGCCGACCCTCCCTCACCCTCCGGCTGAGTGCCGGGCAGGGGGAGGAGCCTCGAGACCCCGCCCCTCCCCACAGTCACTCTGCAGACAAAAACGCAGGCGCAGGGGAGCCGGTGACACTGGGCCGCAGGGGCCACAGAGACCCGGTCACGTGCATGAGAACGCCCGCCCGCCCAGGGGTCTGGAGGCTGAAGCCACAGTGCCAGGCCGGTAGAGTCGGCGTTCGGTGAACATTAGCGAACCTGAAGCAGGAAGAGGGGCTGACTGGGGACAGAGTGGGGACAGACTGGGGGACAGAGTGGGGACAGAAGGCTCAAGGGAGGGTGGGTGAGAACACTTGCCTTGCGCAGCCTCAAGAAAATACGCTGGCCCGATGGACCCAAGGAGGGAAGAACTTTCTGAATGAGAATTGGGCCTGCAGGACACGGGGCTTCTTATCAGCCCAGAACAACCTCGGGATAGATGGCCAATGACAATAGCGATGATAGTGACAGCCACCACCCTCTGAGCAGGCCCCGGGGTCTCAGGAGACCCTCTGTCACCCTGACAATCGCAGCCGGGGGCTGGCCATCCCCTGTGACAGACACCAGAGCACCCACAGGGCTCCGTGCACAGGTGACAGAGAGCCTGTGGCCCCGATGTACTGACGAGGAAGCTGAGGCTCTGAAAAAGGAGGCCCCTTGCCCCAGGGCCCACGCAGCCCGTGGGCGGCAGAGGCAGATTCCAGCCCAGGTCTCCCCACACTCCGTGCCCCTCCCCTCCCTCCACAGTCGGCCCCGGGGCGTCCTGGGCCTTGGCTTCCCTGCCTCCATCGGGGTTTGCTGGCCTGGCCCTGGGGCCAGGGCGGGGGCTGTGCGTGGACCCTGCCCTCCAAGGAAAGGCCGTGACCCCGAGGGGCAGCCCCTGTCTTCCCTGGGGGCCTCTGTTCCCAGCGAACCCCTCTTCTGGGGCCATGACCACTTCCTCGGGGTTCTCGGGACCCGCCGCCCAGCAGGCCCCCCGGCACAAACGTAGGGTTGGGTTTGGTCCCCGATAGGACTTTTTAATTGTATTATTCACATAGCAAGCAAGTATTGATGGACACCTACAATGTGCCAGGCAGGGCGGTAGGTGATGGGGGCCCTGGGGTGACACGTTCTGGAAGGGGCGATGGTGGGGCACACAGGGCGCGCCGCAGCTCGGCGCACCGCCGGCAGTCCCGGAGGGAGATCAAAGCCCGGTGGGGAGTGGAGGGCCGGGGCAGGGAAGGGGCTCTTCGCCGCAGTGGTCAAGGCGACCTCGCGAGGATGTGGCCTTGGGGCAAAGACGTGAGGGACGTCAACACTGCGCTTCCCAGAGTCACGGACCACCCCTACCCAAGCGCACGTGGCAGGGGACCAGGAGTGGCAGGGCGGGAGGGCTGGCCAGGTACGTTTGCCAGGTGCCGGCCTCAGCAGCCAGGGCCACCTGCGGACGCGGCGGCGCCTGTGCTGGTTTCCAACGGCCCTGTTTTCCCACTCGCCATCCCAGTCTTTTGTCCCCAGCCTTGGGACACCTTATCCGGAAAATCCTCCAGCGTTGAGAGAGGCCTTAGGATATCGGTACGCACCCACTGAGGGGCTTGCTCTTCAGCGCAGAGTGGGGCTTAACTGCTCTCCCCTGAGAACCAGCGGGAGGACGCCTCATGGGGGCGCCTTCCCCGGCCAAGGCCAAGACCAAGGCCATCTACAGCCCGGTGTTGCCAGGGTGACTCCGTGCACTCCCTGCAGGGGAGGTCTCCCCGCTGCACAAATGAGGGAGCTGGAGCTCAGAAAGGGGTCCTCACAGGTCCCAGACAACAGCCAAGTTGGAGAGCTGTGCCGTGTTATATGAGAAAATGTTATAGAACAATAGCTACAATCAGAAATGATTTAAATTGAAAGATAGTTTTCCTTTGCCTTGAAAGGTCTGGAAGGAACACAGCAGAAGGTCGAGAGTGGTTAACAGGGGTGGATATTAAGTGGTTCCTTCTCTCTCTTGTAGATTGTTTGCAGGGCTTTTTAAAAAGATTTTACTTATTTATTTTTAGGGAGCAGGGAGGGAGGGAGAGAGAGAGGAAGAGAACCATCAATGTGTGGTTGTCTCTCACGCCCCCTACTGGGGACCTGGCCCACAACCCAGGCATGTGCCCTGACTGGGAATCGAACTGGCGACCCTTTGGTTCACAGGCCAGCGCTCAGTCCACGGAGCCACAGCAGCCAGGGCCTGTTTGCAGTTTTTGCAGCAAACATGTGTTGTGTTTCTGGTCGTCCCCAGTAACTGTCTCACGCACATTTTGCTCATTGAAAGAAGCAAGACGCCAGAGAGCATGCAGTGCATGGCTCCATTTACACAAAGTTCCAGAACAGCAGATCCCAACTGTGGGGCTGGAGGGGAGACCAGCGGCTACCTCTCCAGGTGAGGTGGGTATTGGCTGGGGAGGGTCACGAGGGAACTTTCTGGGGTGATGTGGACGGTGGCCACGGGACTCTACCCATGTGAGCACGCACTGGGCCGAATGCTTGAGATTTGCACACTTTTTGTAAATTAAAACTTAACACGCCGCTGCAAAGTAAAATCAAGTCAAGCACGATGAATCAGACTCGAAACAGCCGAGAGCGAGGATTTTAACTAAAGACCCAGATCTGCGGCTGCCAGAGCTTCTTGGCACTTGGGCCCAGAGTGAAACCCGAGAGGCCAGTTTTGCTGGTGACAGGGTGGTATCGCCCTTGAAAACAGGACCCGCGCATTTCGGAGCAGATTACGGAGGCTTAGCCAGCCAGGCCACTCAGCTCAGGGCCACAGCAATGTAAGGGACGCGCGTTCGGGCCAAAAAACCGAACGGCCCGTGTGACCAAAATAACCTAATCTCATGCAACCTGTCAGGGGGACGGAGAACAGGCCTGCTCTGCAGCAGACAATGCCAGGAATCCGGGTCAGAGGGGAGGCGGTATCTGCTCCCGAAGCATTGTGGCGGCCCCCGCGCAGCAGGCCGCGGACATCCTGCCGCAGCAGCCCCCCTGGTCCCCGCCGGGAGCAGGCTCTCGGCCCCAGGTTATCATGAGAGGGGCCAGGCCCGTGCGGGCGCAAGCAGGAAGGAGCCCTGGTCCTGCAGAACCTTCTTTCCTCCAGAAATAACATCCCCTCTGACAGCTGAGTTTATCAGCGTGATAGCAGGTTAGGCCTAAACAATACCAGCGGTCCCGGCAGCTCGTGCAGCCCACACGGGGTGTCCGCGCCCACTGCTGTCCACACCTGTGCTCCGGGGGAGGGGACGCCCTGGGAAGACCCCAGTGCAGGGGCCCCGAGGGGGTGGGGCTTCTCCCTCGCACCTCGCCCGGTGGGCCCCTGCACAGATACTGCGTCCCACATGGGTGGGTGTCCCCTCACCCTTCCTTTTGTCCTCACAACGGCCTTAAGGGATGGGCACTGCGGCTCCCGCTTTACAGAGAAGGAAGCTGGGGGGGGGCGGGTGAGGGGGTGCGGGGAGCTCCTTCACCGCAGGTCCGCAGGCTCCCCTGTCACCGCGGCCCGCGGCAGCTGTCCACACTCCCCTCCTCCTGCCTCGAAGAACAAGGAGGACCTGGGAGACCGCAGCATTTTGGGATATTTTTTCCTCTCGTAAGAAATCATTTCTTTTGTATTTCAAGTCCTGCAGACTTGTCCTTACCCCCCGCCCCCCTGAGGATGTGTATATGTCCCTATGTCCCCGCTAAATGACGGAAAAAAATGCAAACGAGAGCAACAGTGATGCTCCCCGACATCGGAGCCCCTGCCGACCCAGCACGCCTGCGCAGTGCGGGGAGCCCGGCTCGGCCGGCGCCGGGCTGGGCTTGCACAGAGATGCGGCCCTGTCGGACGGCAGCCCGGGGAGCCCCAAACACACCCTCTGTGCATGTGCCCTGAGCCAGAGGTTTCACGTCAGGACGTTCCGGGTGGAAGGAACAGTGTGGGCGAAGGTACGGGGGTCGGAGAGTCCAAGTGGGGACCTGTGACGGAGAGATCTAGTCTGGCTCTTTGCCTTGGGAGGGAGGGAGCTGCTGTCCAGACAGGGAGGCAGGACACGCCTGTCCCCACAAGGGTTGGGAGAGGAGACCAGGGCTTGCATGTCAGCCCGGGGACCTGGGATCCGGCCTCCGGCGCCTGGGCTTGCCCGCAGCCCACAGCCTGCAGCCTGGGGGGCTCTCACAGTGTTTACTTCCCCTCCAGGGTCTGGTGACGCACGTGCGTTAGAAGCCCGTCTCTCAGGCGAGGAAGCCGACCAGAGAGGCTCAGCCACAGGCCCAGGGTCACGCCGCCAAATCCCAGTGGGAGCTCAGCTGTGTCCGGCTCCCGCAGGTGAGGGTCGGGGCCTCGCACCCTCTCCTTCCCACCCCTCCTGCGGCGTCTCCCCTGAGCAGTGTGGCTGGGGGTCAGCACTCGGGGTCTGTAGCCCTCCCGGGACTGGCAGCTGGGGGGCAGAATTGGGGAAAGTCCCCGGCCACGTGGAGCCCCGCGTCCTTGCACAAACGACGATTCTTTGTGGGAGAGACTGGAGGTTCCAAGGTTGGAGGTGAAACCTTTTCTAGCCGGCTCAAGGGCGTCTGCCTGGGCGAACTTTCGGTGGGGCCTGGGCCAGCCTCCTCGCCTCCCTGAGCCTCCGTTTTCTTCCGTGCTGAACAGGGACCAGACGGTCCACCTCAGGGGGCCGTGCTGTGAACCAGGCCCAAGTTCTCGTTTGCCTGCCTAGGCCAAGTGCTTAGTTTGGCAACGGGACCTTTGCTGTCATCTCCTCACCTGCACCGCCCTCCCTCCCTGAACCCTCCCTGCCCCCTCCCTGCCTGCCCCCAGCGCCCTCACCCTCCCTGCCTGAGGGGGTGCTGCCCAATGCATGCATCGCTTAATAAAGCCAGTTAGATCTTCGATTTTACTTGGTCCCATTTGTTTTCTTTTTTCTGGCCCCTCCCCCACATGCTTGCTTCAATTTTGTTAACAGGTGCAAACAGCCCTAATGCCCAGCGACTGATGAATAGGTAAGCAAAATGTGGTCTCTCCATGCAATGGACTATTATTCAGCCTTAAAACAAAACAAAACAAAACAAAACAAAACAAGACAAGGAGAGCCTTTTACATTCTACCACAGGGATGAACCTTGAGGGCATCGCGCTCAGTGGCATAAACCAGCCACAGCCCTGGCTGGTGTGGCTCAATGGGCTGAGCACTGGTTTGCGCACTGAAGGGTCGCCAGTTTGATTCCCAGTCAGAGCATATGCCTGGGTTGGGGTTGGGGACCAGTAGGCCAGGTCCCCACCCTGGGGTGGGGTGTGCAGGAGAGAGGCAACTGACTGATGTGTCTCTCCCTCTCTTTCTCCCTCCCTTCTCCCTCTCTCCAAGAAAAAACAACGTTTTGTGTTGGAGATTTCTCGCTGGCTGATGCTGCACCCTCAGGTAGACCAGTTGAAGTTCACAGTGATTAAATCAAGACATTAATTGAGAACAATTGATGTTATACCATGCAGGAGGCAGCCCACATACTCAAAACATCCACATCAATAAAGTTACTGATGAAAATAAAAAAAATGTGACTTCTATTTTACAGAAAAAAAAACAAACGAACGGACTTTTCGGCCAACCCAATAGCACGTGGGGGTGGAGACAGGCCTGGAGGCCACGGGATGAGAGCACAGCGCCCCTCTCTGGGGCGAGGAGCCGTCGGGCCGCCTGCCCAGGGAGGAGAAGCCACAGACTGTAGGGGCCGGGGCCGGGCCACACCCACGTTGATATTTCCAACCTCCTCTGGCAGAGCCTGACCCCAAGGGATCGACCTTGGACACCAGCCTTTGCACGTAAGTCTCGTCCAGGAGATAACGTTTACTGAACATCCATCACGAGCCAGCCGTGGCAGGCGCCCTAATGGCCTCTTCTGTGTGATCCTCCCGGTCTCTCACCTCCTCCTCTGTCTGCCCCGGGAACGCTGAGGCTGAGGGCGGTGGAGGGACAATGGCAGCAATGGGGCGTGAACTTGGCCAGTCAGCTTCCACTAGATGGCGCTGAAGGCAAATGATGATGACGGGAAGTGCCCTGGGGGAGGGTGGTGGGAGGTTTCTGACATCCCTGTAAGCCCAGCTCTTTTTCCAGGGAGGCAGCAGTGCGAATGGTCAGGGTTTCTGGGTTCAAACCCAGGCTCTGCCACTGACAGGTTCCGCAAAATGTTACCCCCTTTTTAATTGATGAAATAAAATAATAATAATAATTGAGTATAACTTTTTTTTGTAATACAGGTCTACTAGTGAGAAAATTGACTTTTTTTTTGAAGAGGAAGTAGAATAAAGTTCACTTAATTGGAGTTAAAAGTTAGTGTGTTCCCTACCATCTAATCGATTGCAAATGGTCATCGGTATGGACCATTCTTAGCTTCAAGCTATGAGCTATAAAAAACAGGTGGTGAGCTGGATGCGGCCAGCGGTCAGTTGACTTCCAATCTAGAAGTTTCCTTATGTTTAGTTCTATTTTTGTGCCTTAAAAAACAACCCAAGAATATGTGTATTGGTTTGACAGAGAGAGAGAGAGAGGAAGGGAGAAAAAGAAGCGTTGATGGGAGAGAAACATCAATCGGTTGTCTCCCGCCGTACCCAAGGTCAATTGGTCTTGAGGATGGAGACTTCATAAATGGGATTAGTACCCTAACAAAAGAGACCCCAGGAGGCTCCCTCACCACGTCTGCTTTGGGGTGCACAGCAAGATAAACATTTATGACCAGGAAGCAGGCCCTCACCAGACACCAATCTGCTGGTACCGGAATTGTGAACAATTAGTTTGTGGTGTTTAGAAGGTACCCCATCTCTGGTGCTTGTTGTCATAGCAACCTGAACAGACCAAGACACGGGGCTTCAGCCTAAACGCCACAGTGAGGGCTCGGTCCAGGTCTGGCTCCGGTTTTGCTTCTCACTGGACCGGGCTGCTTCTTCCTGCCAGACGGAGTTCACGAATGAGCTGACTTTTGAGCGGGCCATGACTGATTGCTGTATCGCTGTGTGCAGAGTGCAGAGTCCCCACCATCCCGGGGACGGAAAAGGGGCCACATACCAAACCTGACAAGCTCAGGGGAGGCCTGCCTGCATGGTGGCCTCACAAACTTGGAGACCAAAGTAACCACATAGGATGATCTGAAATGAAAACTTTCTAACTAAAAGCAGTTCATGGTAGGTAGTCATGTCCTAGGGCAGTATTTTTCCCTAACAAAGGTTAGTCTGCACCACCTTCACCTTAACTGAGCCTGTTGAGGTTTTTTTTCACCCACAAAAACATACCTGATAACATACCTTTGGTATATCAAAGTAATTCTCTTTTTTTTCCAGGCCCCTCAAAAGTACAACCACTGCACCAGAGCAGGGACCACAAATCCCCAAATTGTTATCATCATGTTAACTGTGGACTGTTAACGATCCCATACCTGCAAAGGTAAATGCAATCCCAAAGGTTGCCTCGCCTGCACACCTTGGCTTTCTCCGGCCTCGCTAATCTATCACCAAGGTAGTTCACGTAGCCCCCTTGCGCCTCCTCCTCTGATTGGAACGTAGAAAATCAGGTGCATAACTGCTATTCCCTGGAACATTTTCTGAAACCGTTGAGATTTTGCTTCCTGGCAATTGTTGTCAGTTTGACTCAAATGAACTCATGACAATTATTACAGGTTTGGACGCTTCTCACGCTGACAATCCTTATCACAGAGCCTACCCGGTAAGCGCTCCCACAGTCCTAATTTTACAGGCAGAAGCTGAGCAGCAGAAGGAATCAAGACACTGGACTCAGCGCCACGATCACCACGCCGCTCTGCCTGAGTATCAGGGTCAGTCCCGCGCGCAGACCCTTCTCAACCTCATTTTTGGGCCCTGAAGGTTGTGAAGGTCCCGGGGATAGCCGGGCTGGCTCTTCCTTGGCTCTCAGCCCGGGACAAACAGGGTGCCTGGCTGGAGCGGTCGAGACTTGCGGGGAGAAAACCTGATCCCGGAAGCAGTTGCGGCGCCGGCGGTAGCGTCTTCGGTTGCCAGGGCGCCGCCCCGGAAGTAGGACGCGCGGGCTGGTCCGCTGGGCAGTGGACGGTGTCCTCCTCTGAGCGCCGGAGTGGGGCCGGAGGCGGGGCCGGGGCGCGGTGCGGGGACGCCCTGGCCCGCGCTCCTCCGGGCTGCTCTGCGCTCCGTGCCCGCAGGTGAGTCCCCGCGCCGACGCCGCAGCATCCCCGGACCGAGGGTGTGGCTGTGCGTGGGCGAGCGAGTGCGCGTGCGCGAGCGGGTGTGGGCGCCCGGGGCTGTGCGGCCGCTCTACTGCGAGGTTCGGCTCTGCTGGTGGGACCCGAGCCCTCCTCGGGAGAATACTCTGACCACTGTGCCCTTCTTCCTCCTCCGAGTTCCTGTGACTTACCTTGTGCCGCCCGATTCTTGTAATTGCACTCTTCTTGAGATTGGTTATCCCAGCATTTCATTGTTCCTAGGCTTTTGCTGCAATCGGTACTCTTTCTGTTGGCATCTTGCAGCGCGCAGGGCACCTGTGACGGGAGCTGTGGGCAGAACGCTGGAGACTTGTCTTCCCCGCTCCACCCACCTCTCTCTGGGGTCTGGACCTAGGTATCTCCCCTCCCTGCTGCCCCATTAGGTAGAGGGGTCGGGGCAGAGCTGGTGGTCCACCTCATAGAGTCGCTGCAGCATTACAGGGGACCCATTCTAGAAGTTAAAAGTATCTTGTCGTCGTAAGCCGTTTAGGGTTTGGAAAGCGGTTCTTTGTTCGGGAGACATTTATTGAGCGCGTTTCCGTGCTCGGCTGTGGCAGTGCGAAAGATCGGCGAAGAATTCAAGGCACGGGTACACAGTCGGGTGAGCAGTGGCGCGGAACAGGGCACTGCCCCTCAGAGGGGGCTAGGAGACGGACGGCTGCAGTACAGCGGCCACAACGGATGATGCACTGCGTGGATGTGAAGTCATCTACATCGTTATGTATTGTTCTCTTTAAAGGTAGTGCTTTTTCCTTTTCAAAGAAGGCTAGCGGGAAACGAATCCAGTTGCCCTAGCGTCTCGTGGCCTGGCTGGGGCTTCATGGAACGTGACAGTGAGCCCGGACCGGTGTGGCTCGGTGGGTGGGGCATCCTCCCGCAAAGCGAAAGGTCGCCGGTTCTATTCTGGGTCAGGGCCCATGGCTGGGTTGGGGGTTCCTGGTCTGGGCAAGTACGAGAGGCAACGGATGGATGTTTCTCTTTCACATCCGTGTCTCTTTCTCTCTCTTTCTCCCTCCCTTTCCCTCTCTCTACAGGTAAATAAGTTTTTTTTTAAAGGAAGAGAGAGGGAAAGTGATAGCAATAGTTCGAGGCAGTGGGATGAAGGCAGAGGGCGCTCGGGTCTTAGACGGCTGGGCGGGAAGAGCGAGGGGAGGCCCTCCAGCTTGCTGCCTCTCCCGAGGGGTGCTCCTGGTTTTTGCCTCGAGTAGTTCTCACTCCAGGATGTGAAAGGCCTCTTGGCAAAGTTCACACGTCAGGCTGCTGCTGGGTGGAGAATGGGCGGCGCTCGGGAAACCAGATCCTGTGCTTGTCCAGGATCTCGGGGGTGTGGGGGGCAGAGACGTGGAAGGGCATGGAATCTTCTGGAGGAGAGCTGACCTGATTTGGTGCCTGACTGAATGACTAGTCAGCGCCTCCCCGTGGCTGCAGTGGGACTTGATTTGCTGGGCTGTTAAAGCACTTTGCCCCCTGGGCTTACAGCTTGCTGTTGGCGTCCCTTGCCTCCTCCCCGGATCAGAATTGTCCCGGAGCACTTCGTCCGTCCCAGGTAGCTGTCCGCGGTGGCTCTCAGAGCCGAGCAGCTGCGTGGAAGCTAGACTGTCGATCGCCCAGGGGCCGCGTCTGTGGAAACTTGTTCTCATGCTTGTGAAGATTCTGCCCACTTGCCCCAGGAATGGGACCCACATTGTGTGCTGGGAATGCCAACAGCCGTCTGTTTTCCGGACGGCTTTTCAGGGCTGGCAGCCCCCAGGTGGTGCAGCCCGCCTGGATTTCCCGCTGCGATCAGAGTAAAGATCAGCCCGTGGCTGTTTCTCCTGGTTAGGCTGGACGATGCCCGGCGTTCGGAGTGGCTGACCACGCGGCTTAAAATTCAGACACATCTGTTCCTGTGAACCAGACCAGAAGTAAAGTGTTCAAGTTCATCGCACAGTACCATTAACCCCGCTTTTTTTCTGTTTCAGGAGGAAGAGACAGGAAGACGATCAAACAGCAGGTATTTATTTGTTCATTTTTCAAAGTGGAAGAGCTCACTATGTCTTCGGGTTGGGAACGGGTCAGCCTGGCTTCTGTGCTGAGGGGTGGGCCAGCTGGCGCCTTTGTCTGCTCTGCAGACAATTTCTGAGCCCCCTGCCCTGCTGGGGGGTGGGGGTGTGGGGGGCGTCTGTCAGGGGGCAGTGGACGCCCAGTGTGGGAGGGAGGCAGGGTGGGCTGATGGCAGGTTGCCGTCTCTCCCCTGCCTCCTGCTCCCTCCGCAGGTGGAGAGAACGCCTGCCCTAGGGCCGCAGGTGAGCCGTCAATGATGCACCTGGCGGGTCCAGAGCGGTGGCGTGACTTGCTCACAGACACACGGCGGCACTGACGGGTGTGGGGCCGAAGTCAGTCAGTCTGGACTGAGCATCCCCCACATGCCAGGCACAGTGCCAGGCCCTGGGCATGCAGCAGGGGGGAGGAGACCAGTGCCCTGCCTTCCTGCGGGTTCAGAACTGTGGGGGTGCTGAGGGGCACGTGCCTGGTCTGCAGGGTCAGGGAGGCCGAGTGGGGCAAGGGGCAGGTGAGTGGGGGGGTGGCCTGGCCGGGCGGGTGGGCAGGGTTTGTGCAGGCAGGGGTGTCCAGTGTATGGCAAGGCCCTGGGTGGGGGGGCGGGGAGCAGAGCTTGTGGGGGGAGGTCCAGTGTGGCGAGAGCAGAGCGGTCGGAGGAGAAGGTGCACAGATGTGCCTGGGGAAGCAGGCCAGGCCGGGGGTCTGCACTCGCAGCCATGCACGTTAGGACGCAGAGGAGCAATGGCAAGCACTTGAATGTCATGCACTCACGGGAGGGGACTGGAGTGGGGCCGGGAGGAAGCGGCGGGACAGGCTGCACTTGAGGAGTGGGGTGTTAGCACTGGGGTAGGTGCCCCCCCTCCACTGAAGCCATCCCCAGCCACCCTGAGCAGGGCCATGCCCCTGCCCCGGCCCCTGCCCCTTCCCCGGGGGCCTCTCCTTGGCGGCTCCTGTCGCAGTTGAATTGAACATTTGTCGGTGATTGTTTCATTGCTGCCTTTCCCTCCCGCTCCGCCAGGGTTTCCCAGTTTTGGCACAGTGGACGCTGGGGCCGGGTGGTTTGTCCTGGGGGCTGGCCTGCATGTGTGGGGTGTGAGGCGGCCTTCCTGGCCTCTCGCTAGGTGCCAGCAGCATGGCCACCCCCTCAGTTGTGACAAACACAGTGCCTCCGGAGTTCGCCACGTGTCCCAGGGCACCGAGTGGCCCCTGGCTGAGAACCACTGCTGGGGGGACATGAGCCTGGGGGGCTCGTGGGGTGTGAGCTCGGGGTGCAAAGGGTTCCTTTGGGCGAGGGGGACTGGGTGAAGTTTCTCAGCCCTAAGAAGTTGATCTGTTCCAGGATTATGGCAGGAAAAGTGAAATGGGTCACCGACATCGAGAAGTCAGTGCTGATAAACAATTTTGAGAAGAGAGGCTGGATCCAGGTGACAGAGAGCGAGGACTGGAATTTCTACTGGTGAGTGCCAAAGCCAGGGGCGGTGGGTTCCGGAGCCTGCTGGCCCGTGTCCTTCATTCACCTGTAGGTGGCGCCCGCGCAGGCCTGCGTTCCCAGGGGTGGGTGTCCCTGTGCCGTCGTGCGCCTCGTCACACATCTCTTCCCACGGCGCTTCGCGAGCGCACACACAGACGCCCTTGCCCCTCCACTCCACGCCTTTAGCGTCTCTCACAGCCTGCCCCTCAGCGCCCAGCGCCCAGGGTCTGCTCCAGGGAAGTAAGCTGTTCCCGGGGGTGGGGGCGGGGTCTCTGTACGTCCGTGCGCTTCCCTCGCTGGGCCGCGAGAGGGCGCTGTTGGGCCTCGATTAGAAACCAGGGGCTGGGAGGTGAGTGTCTCCAAGAAGACCAGCAGAGGTTTGGCGTCGCCTCCCAAACGGCACTCCCTCCCACCGGGGGCCTGGGAGTTGTTCCGGATTCTTCTCCACCAACCCCCTTCCTGGGCTGAGGTCTTCCGTCTTCTTCGGTCCAGGCCTGCTCTGCCCCCTGCCCCGCTGCAGACAGAGCAGAGCGCCCTCCTTGGGGCAGCGCCCCCACCCCCCCCCCACCACCCTCCCCTCTACCCCCCTTGGCAGGGTCACAGGACCAAACTGAAATCCAGTCGGTCGTGGCGTCTGCTGGACTGACCCTCTGCAAACCTGGGTCTGGAGATTTGCCCTGAATCTTTGAGCGTAGGGAGCCAGGTCACGCCTGGTTTCCACCGCTGTCTGTGTGGCCGTCAGCTAGCAGAGGACTTGACCTCTGTCCAAAGTTCAGTTGTTCGAGGTTGAAACGAGGCGGTAAGGTGCAGAGCGCGGAGCAGTCCCGGCTGGCGGCGGCTGCTCCGTCAGCGGGTGCCACGCTGTCCTTCGCACACCAGCCCACGTGCCGCCCGCCCGGGAAGCCACCGCTGCCTCCCAGGCGCCCAGACCGCTCTGTTCGGTGTCGAGCGGCACATGCTGTGACTCCGTGCGCATCCCTGGTTTGCACGCTACTGGGCAGCGGGGAGAGCGAGCGTGTCGCCTGGCTCATTGGCACCCGCAGAGTGGGCCAGGCCGGGAGCCGCGCACGCTGGCATCCAGCTCCCACGTCCGGCAGTGATCGGGGACAGCCTTGCCCTGCTCCCAGGGCAGTTAAAGCCCCCCGAGGTTTAAACCACGGCCGATTCCCTCCAGGAACCTGGAGTGCAGCTGGGGAGGGCGCTTCTGAAGTCATCAGCGCCCACAAGAGGCTTGACGTCCAGCTCATGATCTTGCTGCTCAACGGTGAAATGAAGTGTTCTGTCTGGACCCCCGTTTCGCAGGCGCGCTGAGGGGAAAGGCTGGGGCGGGGCCTGCAGCTGCGCCTTCGCTGCCCGGCGCCCTGCTGAGGCGCGGAGGGAGCCCTGGGTTCCTGGGCTTCTCCGAGCAGGTGCGCAGGGAGTGCGTGTCTCCTTTCTTTGTGCCAAATGAAAGCATTTCCATGCTGTTCTTAACGAAAAAAGAGAGGATGAGAAAGAGCTAAACTGTAATAATTTTTTAAACTATAATAATTTTGGATAGTTGACATCTTAAGAGCTTTCGTTTTAAGCACTGAGTGTGCCGTCTGGTCTGAAGTTGGTTAGGGTGCGACTGTGGGAAAGACCGAGGGCGCATCGCCGGGAAAAGGTGAACTGAACGGTTCCAGTGTGGCCATTGAAACAGCGGTGGCGACCGTAAACCAGTTCGGGACATTGTATGGCCACGCACATGCAGGAAAACATCTCATGAAGCCGCTTGTGTTCTGAGAGCAGCTGTGCAAAAATAGCTTCGTATCGACAGGAAGGAGAAGCAGCACGAAACGGGGAAGCGAGCCCGCCAGCACGGGTGCGTGGGTCATCTGTTGCCAAGCTAATGGTGCGTAACGAGCACCACAGAACCGAGGGGCTTGAAACAGCCGTTTTTTATTACTCACCAGTTCCGGGGTTTGGCCCCGTGGTTTTCTCAGTCTGGCAGACCGAGCCGGTCTGCCTGGGCTCCCTCGTGCATCCGCCGTCACCTGCTGGGTCACCTGGGGCTGGGCTGGGCTGCCCTTGGCGGGAGAAGAGGGTCTTCTCCCCGCAAATCCGTCACCTCCCTCCAACGGCCGGCCTGGGCTTGTTCTCATGCCGGGGACGGAGGGCGGCAGCTCTCTAGGCCTTTCCGAGCTAGTGTCAGGGGCGGCGTCACTTCTGCCGCGGTCTGTTTGACCAAACAAGGCCGAAGTGAGGCCCGGGTGGTAAGGAACTGGCAGCCCCCACTTCTCCGGAGGCTGCCTCGTGCGGGAGCTCTGCACCGCCCTGCGGGGAACCTGCGGCCTGGGCCTGGGCCTGTGTTGCTGTGCGGCTGTGGCAGCTGTGCCCAGCCCTGCCTGCCAGGGTGCCAGGCATGGACGAAGCCTTCTGATGCTCCCCCAGACCAGTTTGTCTCCCACGGGCTACCACCCAGTGATGCTCGACTGAGCCCTGTCCAAATTCTGCACCCATAAAACCACGCGCTGTCATTCCGTGGTCACTGTCTGCGGCTGCCGTGAGCGGGCAGCTTGTTTTGCAGCCGTAGACACCCAGAGCGCCCTCGTCCCGGGCCGGGCGGCGGCCCAGGGGGAGCCAGCTGGTTGCTGTGTAGACCCAGACGCAAAGGCAAGGCTCAGCGTGTCGTCGGCCTCTCTGTGCTGGGGGAGCCGGGTTTCGCCGACGGAGGGGAATCCTTCCCTGTAGGAGCAGTCCCGCTAGTGGATGAAGGGGGCGTGAGAGTATAACATCGCTGTTGTCTCGTCACCCCTGATGCATGAGGACCGGGGCCTGTCCCAGGCTGGAGCCGCTGACCGCAGGGCTGCTGAGCACTTACCCCATGGCTGGTCCCCAGGCACGTGCTGTCCTGTGGGACTGCGCGCCATGCCGTGGAGACTTAGTGTGGAGAAACAAACATGAGGTGTCTCATCATTAGTGTTTATGCTGATTATATGTTGAAGTGGCAATATTGTGGATATATTCAGTTAAATGAGACACGTGATTTAAGATTCACCATGACCTCTGTGGCTCCACTCGGGTCACGTTCCCTTTGCTGGCCCGGGGAGCAGTGCTCGTCCACCACTCGCCTGCCAGTGCCGCACACGCCCCCGCCCCGGGGGTGCGGCCCTGCCCAGAAAGCTCTTCACACCTTTAGGTCTGACTCCCACAGGCAGCCGGGCCTGGGGAGTGCCCATGCAGGGAGCATGCGAGAAGAGAGCCCCCACGGGACAGACAGGCGGCCCAGGGTCCCCGGCACGGACCTCAGAGGAGACCAGAGAAGGAGGGAGAACGGGTAGGTTCAGAGATGCAAGAGGGAACGACAGAGCAGACCGCCCGGCCCTTGTGTCCGCGCGAGCCGTAGAAAATGTCAGACGACTGGGAGGTCGGAACGCCGGTTAACCTTTGATGCTATTCGGGGGGTTAACGCTGCTTCTTCAGGTGTGACAACAGTGTAAAATGGGATATCGTGTAACGTGCAAAGGAGTCCTCCGTGCTGGAGGTTCCCAGAGGAGCCTTGGGGACGAGACGGTAGGAAGTGGGGGACTTGCTGCAGAGCAGGCCAGGACCACTGCCGCTGTCGGCCCCCCGCGGTGAGGAAGGAGGAAGGAGGAGGGGGCGGGGCAGCGGGCGAGTGCGTGGGGGGGCGCGGCCCGGGGCGGAGCTGGCTCTTGGGGTCTGGGCAAACTTTTCTCCCTACTGTCCTATACGGTTGAGCTTTTCAGTAATAAAAAGTAAAAAAAATTTTTTTACTCTAATGATCATGGGTGCTCCAGACACCCTCTTTCGGTTGGTGCCCTGGGTGGGGCCGGGGGTGGGGCCCGGGCCACGGAGAGACAGGCCACAGGCTGCCTTGTTGAGTGGCCGTGGTTCCCCTGTGAGTGCAGGTTTTCTGGCCCCCGGGGCTGGTGTGGTGGGGACCCTGGCTCTTGGGGGTGGGGGACACCGGGGGGTAGGAAGTGGAACTCTTTCTCTGTCCGCTCTCCCCCTCACTTCAGCGGGGGACCTTGAATAACCTCCCGGGTTTTGGTTGTCAGGGGTCTCTGTCCTTCCTGACTTTGGGTGCAAATTCTGTGCAAGTGACTTTCCCAACTTCAGAGTCTGAATGAGGGGTTTGTGTGAGCTGGTTGTCAGTAATCAGTGTTATCGGCCCTGGCTGAGTAGCTCAGTCAGTGCGGGTTCGATTCCCGGCCAGGGCACCCACAAGAATGAACCAAGGAACGCATTAATAAGAGGAACAACAAATCCATGTTTCCTTTACTCTCCAAAAAATCAGTAAATTAAAAAAGTTATTTAAGCCTTGGCTGGTGTAGCTCAGTGGACTGAGCGTGGGCTGTGAACCAAAGTGTCGCAGGTTCGATTCCCAGCCAGGGCTACATGCCTGGGTTGCAGGCCATAACCCCCAGCAACCGCACATTGATGTTTCTCTCTCTCTACTCCCTCCCTTCCCTCTCTAAGAATAAATAAATAAAATCTTTAAAAAAAGTTATTTAAAAAAATCAGTGTTATCATTAATTGGTAAACATTTATTGAGCACCTATTGTGTGCCAGACAGTGAAACCGTTCAGGGTTGAGTCAAAACAGCGCCTGGCTCAAACAGTTCATGTCGTCGTGGTCCACTGTGGAACCGGCGGCGTGGGCCGGGCACCAGGCACCCCCGTCCGGCGTGCTGGGCGTGGGGGCGGGCCGTGAGCGAGGGCTCCGGGAGCTGCCCGGGCTGTAAGGACAGCGCCCCCACGCGGACGAACAGGAGCTTCCGTCCCGCACGGCCCCTCTGTGCCCCCCTTTCAGGATGAGCGTGCAGACCATCCGGAACGTCTTCAGCGTGGAAACGGGCTACCGGCTCTCAGACGACCAAATAGTGAACCATTTCCCCAACCACTATGAGCTGACCCGCAAGGACCTGATGGTGAAGAACATTAAGAGATACAGGAAAGAGCTGGAGAAAGAAGGGAGTCCGCTGGCAGAAAAGGACGAGAATGGGAAATACCTCTACCTGGGTGCGTGCCTTTTCCTCTGGCCTCAGGCTTCCAGTGTAAATAGTCGAGTTTTTTCGCTTCTGCCCCATGAGGCGGCAACTGTTGGGTGAGTGTGTTTGTGCAAGTTGTGCTGGGCGCCTCTTTCATCCCAGCGTCTCTAGAATGGGGGGCGGGGGCTCAAGCTGGGAATCTGAGTGAGTACCTTGGGAATGTGTTTTCTATGAGGAAGTGGGGGACGTCCCCAGTGCTCAGCACGAGTGACAGCTGCCTGAGCTACTCAGTGCCCCAAGGGATCGCCACTGCTCCCAGTGACACCCAGGGAGGACGTGCGTCCCTGTCCCGTCTGGCGATGACAGCTGGGCTGTCGGACAGTTTCAGAACCCCTGTACACGCCTGGGCCCCGCTGTGGACGTGACCCCCTTGGGCCCCCGTTTCCTCATCTGGTCGGTGGGCGGGATCGGTCCCGAGCTCACCGGTGCTGCGGGGAGCAGGCGATCCAGACCTGAGAGGTGCTCACGTGGCACCAAGGGCAAGGCAGTGTTGCGCAGGGGGCGGGGCGAGGGCAAGGGCGGGGCGATGACGCAGGGCCCGGAAACGGGAAAAGGCCGCGGCAGAATCTTCTGTTCATGGCTCCTCTGGGCCGACTCACTGTGTCCCTCCGCTTGCCCGTCCAGACTTCGTGCCAGTCACCTACATGCTGCCGGCGGACTACAACCTGTTCGTGGAGGAGTTCCGGAAGAGCCCCTCCAGCACGTGGATCATGAAGCCGTGCGGCAAAGCGCAGGGCAAGGGCATCTTCCTGATCAACAAGCTCTCGCAAATCAAGAAGTGGTCCCGGGACAGCAAGACGTCTTCGTAAGTGCGGGGAACCCCACCCCCCACCCCCGTTCCGTGTGCCTCCTGGCTGGCAGATGGGTGTCATCTGTCGTCCGTCATCCACAGGCTGCGTGGCCCTGGCTTGCTTGTGCGGGAGGTCGGGGCGAGGCCTGTGGCTGCAGGGGCATCAGTGGTGATGGAACCTTCCGAGCTGGGGGCCAGAGGGAGCGGTGCTGCAACCAGCACGGGTCACAGGAGCGTGAGCCTTCGTGCCGGAAGCTGGCCTGACAGCCGTCTAGTCACGGCGTTGCTGAGATGGCGAAGCAGCTGCTAGGACCCGGGACTCGAGTCCCGGACACGTGGTGCCTGAGCACGTTTTGTTGCACAGACCCTCGGCTTCCGCACCTGGGTAAACTGAGGACAGCGCCACCCCCAGGGGGCAGCTGGGGGCGGACCGAGTGCAGCCACACCTGAGCCCGGGCAGTGGGAGGAGTTGCATTGGGTCAGGTCCGGCCTCCGCCCTGGGTTGGAGGGTCTCCCCCGAACGGAGGGTTCCAGGCCATTTCGTCCAAAGCTCGCCCTTGGCCTCTGTGAGGTCCTTCACTGCTGTCTGTGTAATCCTCTCCCGCGGCGAAGGCTGGCCTGCCAGGCATTCCCAGGAGTGGCGCGGACGCCTCCTCCGGCAGCACGTTTAAATCTTACGCATTGGTAGCACTCAGGAGGGTCCAGCCAGGGAGGGCTTCCCTGATGGGTCCCAGGAGCCGTAAGTGCCATGTCCCCTGGGCAGGAGCAGGGGCCCCTCGGTGGACAGCACCTCACCCCTGCCTCCCCACCCGAGGAGAGGCGGGGAGCTTTGGTCTCTGCCATCCGTCTGACCCGGGCGCTCCCTGGCACCCAGGTTCGTGTCCCAGTCCACCAAGGAGGCCTACGTGATCTCGCTCTACATCAGCAACCCGCTGCTCATCGGCGGCAGGAAGTTCGACCTGCGCTTGTACGTCTTGGTGTCCACGTACCGCCCGCTGCGCTGCTACATGTAAGAAGAGCCCCGGGGCCCTGGCGCCGTTCTTGATCGTGCTGTGACGTGACGCTTACCCCTTGGCGCCACCGTGAGGGCTGGTGAAGCGCGTCTGGGGCGCACAGCGCCTGGTGCGTGCTAAGCGTCCAGCGAAGTGCTTGCTCATGGCGCTCACGTCGGTCTTCCCGATAAAAGGCCACTCTTCTCGCCCTGCAGACGGCTGTGCTCAGTGCGGGGAGCCAGCCGCGGAGTATTGCGTAGTTCGGTTTCTGCGGAGTGCCCGGATGGGCAGGTCTTTGGAGACGGAGTGGATTGGCGTTTGCCTGGCACCGGGGTGGGAAGGGGCTGCGCACGGTCAGGGGCTTCCTTTCGGGTCGACGCAAATGTCGTGAACTTCATTGCGGTGATGGCTGCAGGGCTTGGAATATACCAGAACCGCAGAACCGCATGCTTTAGGGGTGCCATGATTCATATGGTGCATATGAATTGTATCTCAATAAAGTTGTTACAAGAAAAGAACCAGTTTTAAAAAAAAAGGACTGCTTTTAAAAGTTTAAAAGAACAAATATCCCATAGCTCCTTGTAGAGAACAAAGTAGTGCATTTTTTTAACTTGGGTAGGAATTCAAGAACTTTTTTTTTTTTCCTTTTTTAAAGATTTGATTTATTTTCAGAGAGAGGGGAAGGGAAGGAGAAAGAGAGGGAGAGAAACAGCAGTGTGTGGTTGCTTCTCATGCGCCCCCTGCTGGGGACCTGGCCCGCAACCCAGGCATGTGCCCTGTCTGGGAATCAACCTCAGGGGTTCACTCTGGTTCATAGGTCGCCACTCAGTCCGCTGAGGCACACTGGCGAGGACCGAAGTGTTACATTTTTCTCTGCGTTTCCTCAGAGTATTGAGTTGACCTCAGTCCCCACGCAGGTACAAGCTGGGCTTCTGCCGCTTCTGCACCGTGAAGTACACGCCCAGCACCAGTGAGCTGGACAACATGTTCGTCCACCTCACCAACGTCGCCATCCAGAAGCACGGGGTGAGCGCCGCTTTTTCCTCGAGCTTAAGGACACGGGCGGATTTTGTGGGTTTCTTTCTTTTCCCGTTTCTGCCGGAGAGGGCGGGGTGGGGGTGGAAGTGACATCGAGGTGCCCTGGCACCGACGGGGCGCGGGGGCCCTAAGTGTCCGGTGTGGCCGCTGTGCCACCAGCTGGATCAGTGTGAGGAGTAGGAGAGGGGGGCGCGGGGCAAAGGAAGCCGAGTGCAAGCCCTGCCTTTCTAGTTCGGGGACCCTAGGTGAGTTAACTGCACTCTCAGAGCCTCAGTTTCCCTGGTTGTAAAAGGAGGTGACATTGTCACCTTCGAGGGTCTCGGGGAGGACCGTGTGAGAGCGCTCAGGCCCAGTCATTCGTCCAATAAGCACACACTGAGCCCCCGTCAGGGCTGGTCCCTCGCCAAGCGCCAGGGCTACGACGATGGGCAAACCTACCTTGGTCCCTACACATGGAGCCCAGAGCCCCTGGGGGAGACGGGCACCAGGTGACCTCACTGACGAGTGTGCAGTCCCCAGCTGAGACGTGTGCTCTGAGGGAAAGGACGCGGGACCAGAAGAGCGTGGCGTGATGCGTCCCCCTTGTCCGGGCGGTTGGAGAAGGCTCCCCTGCAGAAGTGGGGCTTGAGCAGGGGTGACCCAGGTGGAGGTGGGGAAGGAGCCTTCTAGCAGAGGGTGCAGCATGTGCCAAGGCCCTGTGGCTGGAAGGGCCACGGCAGGAGCTGAAAGGAGGTCGGGGTGGCTGCAGCCCCCGGTGCGAGGGTGGTGGAGTGAGAGGTGCCACGGTCTTAGGGCGGGCAGGGGGCTCCACAGCCTGCAGTACAAGGTATGAATGATTAGTAGTGAGGATGTTCCAGAGCTGAGTATTTAAAACATGTGCACATGTGGGAGGCCCAGATCCCCCTGGGGCCAGGTCCACCCGCAGGAGGGAGGGGGTACTCGGCTCCTCCGCGGAGCTATGCCTGAGGCCGGCCCCCCCCCCACCCCCGGCCAGGAGGACTACAACCACATCCACGGGGGCAAGTGGACCGTGAGCAACCTGCGGCTGTACCTGGAGAGCACCCGGGGCAGGGAGGTGACCAGCAAGCTGTTCGACGAGATCCACTGGGTCATCGTGCAGTCCCTGAAGGCCGTGGCGGTGAGCGCGGGCGCAGAGGGGAGTACAAGGGAGACACAGCCCGGCGGGGGCTTGGGAGCTGGTGACGCTGCTTGTTCCGTGCTAAAAACACCTGTTTTCGGGGTCTCACCTCCTCCTGGTCTGCTCCAGGCTGAGGCCGGTTTGGGAAGGAGGGTGGAGCTGCTTCCAGCTGGGCGCTGCCCGGGGTGCGCTGGGAGCTGGGCCCCCCACCGGAGCCACGGGCCTTCTGTGCCCGTTGAAGCAGTAAGAGGTATTTCGGCAGAAGCTGATGCTTTGGAGGCGGACGTGCAGCAGCCTCCTCATGTTCAGGCTTCTTGCTTTGCTCTGTTGTGGATGTGGGGGGCTGTGGCGGCCCGAGGAGCCCGCCTTCCCTCCGCCAGTGGGTGGCAGGCTGGGTGGGGCTCCCCCCGCCTCGGGAGTTTGCTGTGTTACACGCGGGGCTTTTGGCCACGTCCACGCGTCCACTGACGCACAGCAAGGCCTCACTGTGGTGTCCGTGTGCCTCCCTCGCTACGTCCCATGGCCACAGGCAGGGCCCCTCCTGCTGGCCTTAGCCCGTGCAGCCTGGGAGGCCCGGGAATCTGCATTGTACGCGAGTGCTGGTCGGGGTCTCGTGGACCTGCAGAACAGTTTGCAAAGTGGGACTGGAAATGGAAATCCCCCCAATTTAAGTCAACAGATTGACTGTTGTCGCAGAGAACGGGGGCTCGTAGCCTGGCACTTGCACCCCCAAGGGCCCGAGAGGGGACCCGCAGCGGTGGGCAGTGTTGGTTGGTGTAACTCCGGGACCCAGGCTGGCGCTGGGTCTCCGTTCTCCCTGAGGACAGTCTCGTGCCAACAGAGATGCTCTTTCGTGGCTGGTCACCGAGCCTCCGATGAGGGAGGGCTGGGGACACCTGGGACTGCGCCATGAATCGCTCTCCAAGGTGGTGGGAAGTGGCCCTGTCTGAGCCCCAGAGGAGGGGCAAAGGAAGGAGGCGGGGTGGAGGTCGGACCCACTGGTCGTGGAAGGGAGGTGCTGCACAGTGCGGCACAGCCCTGCAGAGGGCGCTGCCGCCACCTCGGCCCACGTCAGAGACACGGCTCTCTCCTCCGCAGCCCGTGATGAACAATGACAAGCACTGCTTCGAGTGCTACGGCTACGACATCATCGTGGACGACCGGCTGAAGCCCTGGCTGATCGAGGTGACCGCCCCGCGGCCGCCGCCCCGCCTCAGGCCCCACTGGCCTGGCCTAACGGCCCCCGGGCCGCACGGCAGGACCAGGGCATCGGATGGGTTTTTACATGTAACGGGGACAGGTGTCCGGGTGTGTCTGTCTGCCGATGGTTGAACGTGAGCCCACCCCGGGCCTGTCGCCTCTGGTGGGCCCAGCCCATGGCCGGAGCTCGGTCGAGTCCAGGCTCGGCCGCCCTGCCATGCCCTAGAGGGGCATGTCATTCCTGTTCAGGAAAGGAGCAAGCAGATCGGAAGCCCTTGGGAAGCGGTGGCCTGTCAGCCAGAGATAAGGAGGGGCCTTATCTTCTTTGGCTGAAGGCAGCGTTTGGATCAGTCTCCCTGTCTCAAGGCAGAGACAGACGTCCTGGTGGCCGCTCTGGGAAGTTCTGAAAAGGGTGGGGTGCCTACACCCTTTTCCCTTTCCCGTGACACGCCTCGGCGAGGCCGCCTCGGATGACAACAGCCACCGGTGGCTGTGGGCGCTGGCACGCCCACCGAGGCCCGGAGGTGGGGCTGCCTTGTGGGGTCACCCGCTTTGCTCCGGAACCAGGAAGGGGCGCTCGGGCCTCCGTGGGGACAGAGAGTCTGACGCGCCAGCAGAACGAAGCCCGTCCACTCGGTCGGTCCACCTCCCGGTGTGCCTCTGAGCGCTGGGTCTTCTCGCCACGCCCACCGAGAGGCGGGCGGCGCAGGCCCGTTTTGAGCTGGGACAGCCAAGTCCAAGAGCAGCTGGTGGTGAGCGGCCCCGCGTGGGCAAGTCTGCGGAGCCCCTGCAGGGAGCTGCCGAGCTGGCCCGACTCCCAGGGAGCGAGCCGTGCTCCAGAGCAGTGCCTTGCAGGCCGCTGGGCATTCCTGCCGAGGCTGTGCGTGAGCGTGCGTGCATGCATGGGTGCCACGTGGGGGGCAGGTGCAGGTAAAACATCTGCGCTTCCTCCTCGTCCACCTTAAATGGAGTGACGTGAGTGGAAGTCAGGCTTCCCTTGATGAGCTAGGACCTTTACTGTTACTTCTAACCCAGCAACACCTTAGTTCTCGCACATTCCCGGTGAGAACCACGGTATTATGCTTATGAGACAGTGAGGGCCCCTGGGACCCCTGAGGCCCGGACACTCCCTCTCACTGTGCACGAGACCTGCTGCCCACCACTCGAGGACAGCCAGACTGTGGGGGGATGGACCCCTGGACAAGTGGCAGGCTTGCTGCCTCTGCTCTCCCAGGTGGTCACGGCTTTGCCGCTGCACATAAGAGGGAGTAGGCGGTGGCTGAGGGCCAGTGGGGCTCTCCTCGGGGTAAAGATCTGCTTTTTTTTTTTTCTTTTAAGATTTTATGTATGTATTCTTAGAGAGGGAAGGCAGGGGGAAAGGGAAAGAAACGTCCATGAGAGATGGAAACGTGGGTCGGTTGTCTCTCATCTGCCACCTATGGGACTGGCCCGCAACCCAGGCATGTGCCCCGACTGGGAATCGAACCTGCAACCCTTTGCTTTGCAGGTCAGTCCCTAAACAACTGAGCCACACTGCTCAGGGAGGGACGTCTGCTTTGAACACGTGGGTTTTGTGACATTGCTAAGCTCCTCAGACGCCTTAGGAGACTAACTTCTCGTTTGTCCGATGGGTTCCTCGTCTGGGTCAGAATACTGCTTTATGGGCGAGGTTTCACTCTCCCAGCGAAACAGGGCCCGTCACCATGTACCCCAGCCCCACGGTGCTGCCTGTGCAGGCCCGTTGGGTTCCCGGACCTAGCAAAGCTCTGGGGGCGCCTCTGGTACCAAGTTCAGCGCCCAGCCCGCGGGCGGCACTGATGTGTGTGTGGCCCCCACCGTCCTGAAGTTTCTGTTTGTGTGATGGCTGATTTGCAGGACACAGCACTAATCTCTGTACATCCTTCGTTTCATCTCACCCCTAACGGAAGCAGATCCCAGAACCCTCCCTCCAAAGCTGTCCCGGAGGCACAGGGGTTAACAGCACCAGGCGTTGACAGCTAGACCTCCGTGCGCGGCGGCCGTGTTCTCGCCCCGCAACAGGAGCGAGTGACGGGCGCCTCTCCCCCCTCCCCCGCAGGTGAACGCGTCCCCGTCCCTGACCTCCAGCACCGCCAATGACCGGATCCTGAAGTACAACCTGATCAACGACACCCTCAACATTGCGGTCCCCAATGGCGAAGTCCCGGACTGCAAGTGGAACAAGTCCCCCCCCAAGGAAGTCCTCGGCAACTACGAGATTCTGTGCGTGGGTTCGCCCGCCTGCCCACCCACCCACCCACGGCCGTGCCGCCATCCTCGCGAGTTTCGGGCTGAGGGCCGCCAGGGCCCGACGCGGTTTCCTGGCTCTGGGCGGGCTTGCCTCCTGTGGGCGGAGGATTCCCACAGAAGCTGTGGGCAGCTTCTGTTTTTTTTTTTTTTAAATAAGATTTTATTTACTTATTTCTGTAGAGAGAGAGAGAGGGAGGGAGGGAGAAAGAGAGGGAGAGAAACATGATGTGTGAGAGATTCATTGACTGGTTGCCTCTCCCACATCTCCCAACTGGGAACCTGGCCGGCAACCCAGGCATGTGCCCTGAGCGGGATTCGAACTGGCGACCTTTTGGTTCGCAGGCCCACACTCAGCCCGCTGAGCCACAGCAGCCGGGGTGAGCAGGATGTTTATTTTTTTAATGATGTTATGGGATGCATCACGTTGTAGCAGAAAAGTGTCTGGGTGCCACGCTGGGCTTCTGTCTGGTCTTTGCATAGTAAGTGTGGGTGAGGCACCTGCCCTGTGCCAGGCCCGGGCGCCCCCGACCCCTGGCTGCAGCGGGGTCGCTCAGACCTGCCCCGCAGATGCCGTGTGAAGTATTTCCAGACTCCACTCTCTCCTTCCGTGCCCCGATGGCTCACTCGTGTTCCTTTTGGGGTCGTGGCCAGGTGCCATCTGGTCGCCTGGATAAAATGGTGCCTGCGGGGCTGGGGACAGTCCGCAGTAACAATGTAACAAGGTTGCACTAACGTGCCCGTGGCCTCTGGGCCGCCCACAGCGGCCACGCTGTTTTGCCGGGTGACGTGGAACTTGCCACGCTGCAGCCCGGTGCCCACCCGGTGCCGGTCCCGGAGCCTTTGTTTCTCCGCTTTTCTGTTTCCAGGTACGACGAGGAGCTGGCGCAGGGCGACGGGGCCGACCGAGAGCTGAGGAGCCGTTCGGGCCAGGCGGCGGGGCCCAAGGGGGGCCGGGCGAGAGACTCTGGGAGAGCCGCCCTCACCACCTGGAAGTGACCCCAGTGAGCGCGGGACCCCAGCCTGGACCCGCCACTCCCTGAAGACCCATTTTGAAATTTCCTTTTTCTAGAGCTTTTTTTTTTTTTTCCTTTCCTACGCCGTGTAAATAAATAAAGGCACTTCTTTGGAAGGTTTAGGAGTCTGTTCCTGGGGAAAACTCCATTCCTCCTGTGCCCGCACAGGCACAAACCTCCGAGGCCAGACGTGTGGGGGTGTTCCCCATGCCAGGCAGCCCTGCATCCCCCAGCTGGTGCGGGCGTCCTGCGGGGGGTGGGGGGGGGCCTTCAGGTCTGCCCCTGCTGCTGGAGGGGGCAGCAGGAGCAGGTCCCTCCCACAGGCACAGGGGTCCCTCCCTGTGCCTCCGACCACAGACCGCAGACCGTTGGGGTAATTTGTTAGAGCGGCTCACGGAAGTCAGGACAAGCGGACTTACCAGATTACTGGTTCACGGTACAGGACCCAACCCTGGAGCAGCCAGGCGGCAGCGATGCAAAGGGCAGGGTGTGGGAGGGGCCGCGGGCTTCCCGAGCCCTCCCCGGGGCGGAGGGCAGCACCGTCCCCCAGGCCCTCGCATGCTCAGCTCCGTGGGAGCTCCCTGAAGTCCATCGTTCAAGTGCCGGAGTTTGGGGCACTCACGGAGGCTTCTCCGTGTGATTGATCAGATCCTTGGCCACTGGTGATCGATTCAACGACCTCCGGGAGGGTGGGCGGTGGGCCTGAAGGTGCCAATCCTGTGATCCCGTGATCGGTTCCCCCCACAGCCACCCCCCGCCCCCCAGACTGGGGCTACTCTGGAGCCCCCACACCCGTCACTCATCAGCACAAACTCTGACGAGGCAGAAGGGGCCTGTTCCGGGTGGCAGAGACAACCAGTTTCACCTTCAGGTGCTGGAGCTAGTTCCGGAACTGAGAACAGAGACGGCCAGGAGGAGGGAGGTGTAGGGGACTAAATGGTAGTAGAAAATAATACAATAAAGCTTACATTAAAAAAAATGTAAGAAATTAAGGAAAAGAAAAAAGATGGGCCCTGGCTGGTGTGGTTCAGTGGATTGTGAGCCGACCTGCAAACCAGAAGGTCACCGGTTCGATTCCCTGTCAGGGCACATGCCCGGGTTGCAGGTCCCCAGTTGGGGGCGCCCAAGAGGCAGCCAATCAATGTCTCTCTCACACATGGATGTTTCCTCCTCCCTCCCTTCTTGTCTCGGAAAATAAAACCTTTAAAAAAAAGTCTCTGTGGCTCTTAGGAGGGAAACGACAGGCTTCAGGGGCCTTGTGCCTGGGTGGAGGTGAAGAGTGTGCGAGTGCACACGCGCACACACACACTCACACGTATTTCTTGGAGATCACAGGGTCACTGCCCATCTCATTGGGGCCGAAAGAACTGGCCACACAGATAACCCAGCCCTTTCAGAAGAAAGTAACGGCTTCGGTGTGTGATTAGTTTATTATAAGGCATCCGTGTTTTCAACATGTAACTGAATTAAAGACACCGCTAAAACCCGGACATCTTGCAGAATCACGCCGCTGCGGGAAAGCAAGAGTTTTAACCTGGCCGCTATGTTGGTTCCGCTCCTTTGGCCGTGATTTTGAGGGAAACGGGCAGCTAGAAACATGCCTCAGTCATCGGTCTTCCCAGAGGCCTCTGTCTAGGTGCTCGCAGGAGACACCGGCCGCCGTCACCTCGTTTCGCCAGTGGGTCACCACTGTCCGGTGAGCCCAAACTCCTGCCGCGTGGCTTATGGACATTGGCATCCAGGCTGGCTGCAGAAGAGGCAGGCGCTGTTGGCGGCTGTCAGCGGGGACGGGCTCCTGTGTGTTTACATGAAGCCACTCTGGACACGGGACGTAACAGAAGGATATGGGAGGGAACCCCGGCTGGCTGGGCAGAGTGACTGACGCGTCCAGATGGCCCTCCAGACGGGTGCTCGAGCCTCTGCCGTGGTGCTGTGGTCCCGTTTACCGGTGGAAGCGAGGCTGCCGCGGCGTCTGAAGGAAAGGGATTCCCTGAGCCCCGCGCGGGAGGATGCAGCTCTGTGGGGTGGTGTGCCGATGATGCCCGTCTCCAGCCGCCTCGCCGTGGAAAAGGGCCGGTCTTTGGCAGGGCCAGGATGAAGGCCGCGGGCCAGAGCTTGTGCTCCCCGTCAAGGTCCGGTCCGGTCCAGCAGCGGCTGGCTCAGCGTGGGCTTCCAGCTGCGGCCCTTTGCTGGGCTTGGGTACCCGGGCTCCCCTCCAGGGGCCGTGGAGAGAACAGGTGTGTGCCGTGTTGTGAGCACCTCTAGTGAGGGCAGGAGAGGGAGGCGGGGAGACAGAGAGAGAGAGAGAGAGCATGCACGTTTTTTTTTTTTTTAAGATTTTATTTATTTATTTTTAGGGAAGAGAGGGAGAAAGAGAGAGAGAGAGAAACATCAAGGTGCGGTTGCTGGGGGCCGTGGCCTGCAACCCAGGCATGTGCCCTGACTGGGAATCGAACCTGCGACGCTTTGGTTTGCAGCCCGCGCTCAATCCACTGAGCTACGCCAGCCCGGGCTAGCATGCAAGTTATTTTGTCCCCCTGGGGTTATAACCTGGAGCATGGACTTGGGACGGGCCAGGTGCTTTTTCAAAAGAAGCAGTCTACTTCCCAATCTTGAGAGGGCCTCCCACGGGTCCGCACCCCCTGGTTAGACTGAGAGGCCCCCAGGACCCAGCCCCTCTCCTTGCGCCCCGGAGGGAGGGGTGCGAACCCCACCCCAGGAGAAAGGCTGCCGGCCCCCGGAGTGTGAAGCGGCAGCGTCTCGGCTGAGTGAGCAGGCTTCTCCCGCCCAGTTTCTTCACCTCAGGGTCTCCTCCCTCTGCTGTTTCCTGGCTGAACACCGACGGCAACACGGCGACCCCCGTTTGCTGAGCTGCTTTTACTAAAACTCTGCACCTGTTTTTTGTGACGGTGTCGGTGACGGGATTTGGTTCTCACGGTGTGGCTCTGAGGCCTTCCTTAGAGGTCTTCCCCTCCCTGACCCGCAAACACGCGTCGCTGAACATGTCACATCGTGTGTGTGTGCGCGTGCGCTCCCTATGTTTAATGACACCTCACTGCCAGTTAGGGAGAAGGTCCCTTTAAATGGATATAGTACCTTCTAAAGTGAGAGGAGAGTCATGCAAATGGTATGTAGCCAGAATCCAAATAAATTACAATTTGGGCGGATCTGTGTGCTTGGTTCACTGCACGCCTGGCCCTGTTCCCACCTATTGATCCGATCTGCGTGTGCCTTTCCTGCCTTGCTCGATGTCAGGTCTGGGGTCGCTGGTTAGGTCTAGGGTCGCGGTGCTGGGTGTGGCCGGAGCCTCTGACTCAGAGCCGGGCCCGCAGCCGGGCTCTGCCCTTGACTAGTCCGTCCCAAGGCCGTCAGTGGCTCTGTGGACCTTTGCTTCCTAAGTGTGTAAAAAGGGGGTTTATTATATTTGCCTCAGAAGTCACGAGTGCCACCGCCTGTCCAGCCTGGCTCCTGTCACAGCTCTGGCTGTGTCATCTTTCCCGGGAGGGGGCGTCATCCCTGCGGCCGTGGCCTCCACCCTCGGCTTCCTAACACAGCCTGTCCCCAACCTCGCCGGTTCTGACCACCCAGGTTCCTGGTTGGGTGGCTTTATTTTTCCCTCCTGGACGTACCCGGGAAAGGGTGGGGCCCCTGGTGGGGACGGCCGGCCGTGCTCCCAGCTGGGGAGGAGGGAGGTCATCTGTTTGCCGAGGGCCAGGTTGCTAGGGGAGAACAAGTGTCTGCTAAATAGATTTGTGTCACATACTGACTGTCACTTGAGTCACGCGTTAGTGATGATGTCACGTTCGGGGCAGATGCTTCCTCCCAGCACGTCCAGAACGCGGGAGGGCAGGAAGTGGGGTCTGAAGCAGGCCTGGGAAGTGACAGGCTCATCGCTGGGTCTCCCACCTGGACCCCCGCCAGGCTCAGGCCGCAGCCCCGTGGCATCCAGCCGGGCCCCACCGTCCGGCCAGCGGACTCTTTCCACCTGTGGCCGTGGTCTCTGTGAGGCCCACGCCGCCCGTCCTCGGAGGCCCTCTGGCTTCTCTGCCCATGTTGCCCCGGGAGACTGGGGCGTTTCTAGCTCAGCCGCCCCTCCCAGCAGCCAGGGTGCGGCTTCCGAGGAGCTGCCTGGCCCTGGCTCTCCCCAGGGTCAGGCCCCCAGACCCCTACGGTCCAGGGAGGCAGGCCGGGGTCTGCTGCCAGCTCGCCTGCGGGCCCAGAGCCTGCTGCGGCCCAGGAACCGGGGACCCACAGGGTGCCCACGGTGTCATGTAACCTGCGCCGTGCCCCAGCGGCTTGCCCTCGGGGCGTCCCAGGACCCTTTGAGAGGAAAGAGGGGAGCTATCCAGTGGGCTCTGGCCTCTCATTTAGGAGGACGGGTGTTTCTGTGTCTTTTCTGATGGGTGCCAGCCTCGAACCACACTGTGTGATGTATGCTTTTAAGTTAAAAGTGGCTTCCCAAGCTTCTGGGCCTGGGGTCCCAGCGCGCTCCCCGCACACCTGTTACTAGGAACGAGCCCAGGGGGACGCAGAGTCCCCTGTTTGCCACTTGTCCAGGGTCATTTTTCTTTCTCAAGTTCAACCCCCTGGATTTTTCTTACACGCGAATGCCGTGCCGCAGCCCCGGCCGGAGTCCGGGCTCTCTTCCCGCGTCCTCGGGGGAGTCTTGACAAGACAGCAAATGCCCGAGCAAAGTCTCTCTCCAGGGCTCAGGGGCTTGGATGGGGCACAGGAGGTGGCCGGGCAGCCCTGGCCTCACTGCCCGCCACCAGCCGCCGCTTCTGAGGCTGGGGGACCTGGCACACCCCGCAGAGCCACGGGGGGCTTGCCGGCCCTGTTCCCCGTGGCCCCCCACACCGGGCTGTGGGGAGCGTGTCCAGGGTGGCCCTGCATGCGGCAGCAGCGGCTTCCTTGGAACACGTGACCGCCCCCCCGTCCCCGCCCCGGGTGGCCTCCAGTGCCGGCTGCTGGGTCTTTTTCTGCAGGGGCGTCACCCTCAGGGGCTCAACCCTGAGGGCCAGAAGGAGCTCAGACTTCTCTGTGGGTGCAGGGGGTTGAATAGTCCGCCCCCTCCTCCCCCCGCGCCAATGCAGTTCT